ACATGGCGCACGCAGAATTTTAGACATTCAGACTCTTAGTTACATCCCATAGCAGCAGTGAAGAATCATAGTTGTTCTCAGTTGAAAAATATTTCTGCTTCTTGTTCTTCCAGCCTTGATATTAGGATCCCATATCACAAATTGTAGTTTCATTGTGCATTGCAGCCTACCCGCTCTTAGACATCTTTCACATCTTGTTGGTACAGCGCTTCCTATCTGAGTGCCTGCCTCAGATCTCCCTAATAAGCAATGAAGCATTTTATGGCCACTCCCCCGCAAAGTGTTCCTGCCTGCTGAACTTTAGAGATGTTGTACACCTGCTGCCCAGTGCATGAAGTGCTCTGATGTTGAGTTTTAGTCGCAACTGTTATTTTTAACTGACTGGTAACTTGCTGTCTTAAAAGGTTTAAACCTTTAAGGCATTTTTTAACCAGCTTTGAGCTAGCATTTTTGAAGGTCTACCATCTCTTCTCTCTTTTTTTCTCCAACATGTGCATCAGCAGACACAAGAATAAATACAAGGGAGTAGGAATACACTAATTTTAAATGGGGAATAGGCTCTTTGAACTGACCAGATTAGTATTCTTCCCATTTTTGCAGTTGTATGCATAAAAATTGCATTTCTTGTCTTTGAAAATGTAACCCTTTCTTTCCTGTTAAAATAGCTTGTCCGAGAGAGGATGATTCAGTCAGATAATATTTATGTGTCTCAAAGGTGAAATCTAGTCCACTGAAGAGAGCCAGTTCCAAGCTTTTTACATTGCTTTTGCCATAGATGTGGCTACCTCACAACTATGCAATGGGATAGAAGTGCCACTTCAGTCTTCTGACATATGGAAGAAGGTTTTATATTTACCAGAATAAACTAGCATTTACCAGAATAAACTAGCACCAGGAGGACACTGGTGGATATATCAATGGATAAGGGCCACAAAATCCACGTGGCAGTAGTGTCCCAACACCCTTTGGGACAGGTGGTATAGAAGGATTGCAGCTACCGATCTGATCTGTAGGCTGAAGCATGGGTGGCCAATAAATGGCATAGGCAGCCTCTGTTTGTAACCCACAGCAGACTGGGGAGCGGGCAGGCAACACAGTGGCAGATAGGGAAGGAAGCAGAAACAGAGCGGCACATTGGACAGGGAGCACAAGATGGGGAACAGAAAGCAGAGAAGCAGATTAGCTAGGGGAAGGGGATCACAGTGGCACTTGAGGAAGGGACAGTGCTAATTTCTACCATTCCTACCAAAAAGGCTAGCCTTCACAGAGCAAAACAGTGGCTACCTTGTAGGTACGTAGGAAACACTTTTCATCCTCCTTCTTCCACCCCCTCAATATTTATGCTTCACTTGCATGATAGTGCTAACTCATTTGTTATATATGGGAAACACATTTCTGAAGTGTTTTGTTTTTACAACATAGAAGTCCCAATCTCCTCACTTTGCAAATGGGGCAGATCTTTACTAGGCCAATTTAGAATAGGATAAAATGGCAAATAATTGTAAAAAACCAAATAGGATTTTAATGTCCCAACCTGGGAAATCTGCTTTCAAAAGTATTATACACAAATCTAAGAGAATTAAATGAATTAAAAATACTCCTGTGCCAGGTGTCTGGCTCTTCCTGGAGCAGTGGGTTTGGGTGTGATTTTTTTTCTGCTGATGTGGGAATCTGTTGTAAAATGGTTTAGATCCTTGATGCCCCTAGAATCTGGGGGAGTGCTTGGGATTCTGGGCCTGAATTAGGCTCATCCCATCAATAAATATGAACATTCTGAAAAACACATCTTTTTTTCAAACTAAAATGATGCATGTATAAGCTGGGAAAGGGGAAAGGAGCATGTTTGTCACCTGAAAATTTGAGAATCCAGAGAAACAAATATGTAGCCCCAAAGATTAACACTACCTTTTATGATTTAATAATACTGTTTATTTCTCGCCTTATCATACTGACCAAATATGTGATAGGTAAATCAAGGTCATGGAGCAAACGTTTTAGGTAGGAGTTTATTCCCATTTCAAGTTTAGCTAAATATTGCAACGGCATTACTGTAGTCCCTCGCTCCCGTCAGATTTGAAACATAATGTAAGCTTTATCTTTTCTTTTTCTTGTCTTTTAACTTTTCAGTCAGTTTACTTTTCAGCAGTTTGACTGACCTTTTTGCATTTTATGTTTTTTCTGGTCCACATTTTACTTTATATTTATTTATAAGGTTTACTGTGGTAGTTACATGAAAATATTTCAGTTTTATTTTGTTTTTATGTATTTTGGTTTTAAACAAATGGCAGACATTTCAAACTGTTCCAAGGATTGAAATATTACAGGTAACTCTAGTCTACATGTGCATCTGGGGACAAAGCAACACTAAGAAGATCAAATGCATTTTCTACTAGTATTGCCAAACCCAGGCATTCAAAACACACAAGTCAGAACCTCTTCATTATGAGATGGGGTTAAAATTTTACTGTAGTTAGTATTACATTTATCAATCTTTAGAGTTCATGTTTTCAAGACTTCCCCCCCCAGCTATAAAGGATAGACTTCCCAAAGAAAGAAAGAAACTGAGGCTCTTACTTAATGACCTGACCCTGGAGCTGGGGCTGTAAGAAAAACATGGAGCTTTGCGAGCATTGTACAGGACCCTGTACATGACAGTAACATTTCTCACCTCTTTCACCACACCATTTCCAATGCATATATATTTGTACGTGCACGTGTATATGTAAACTGCCTCTCTCTCTTTCTCTGTATATAAATAATTTTACTAAAATATTATACTATATATTATAATATTATATAGTATAATATAGTAGATATATAGTATAATATTTTAGTAATATTATATATATACAGAGAAAGAGAGAGAGGCAGTTTACATA